GTACCAGCAAACCTGAAATGGAGTCTGAAACGCGAAACAGTGAGGTCCAAGGGTCAAAACGCGAATTCCTATTCGGTTCGATTTGGTAGTTCGCGAAGTTTGGTTCCCTGGTGCTGAACGCACTAATGTAGAAATACGCCCTAACCCGTGACCACATAAATTATAACAGCAAAATTACCGAGGTGCGGCATTCCCTCCACTTCAGCGCTAACAAACAAAAATCTTGGCGCACCTTGTCCAATGAAGCCCAAGGCACGTCGTCACATCAGATCTGCAACATGTCGGTCGTCTGATCACGGGAGATCCTGTAACTACAGTAAAGTGTAAGGCTGCACTGGAGTTATACCCTTATGTGAAAAAGTACAAATATTTAATACCCTTATATTACAAAGTAGCTTAAAAATATACCCTTACAGAAAAAGTGGCGGCAAGCGAGTACCCTTACAAGAAAGAGTACTTCTAATCCTATCCAGAGGCCTAGTTATCGCCTGGCTGTCCCGAGTGGAGGCTGGTGTTGAAGTGAGAAAAGTAAGGCTAGAACAGATTCTACAGGGGTATATAGCCAAATGGGTTGTACTCCCTAAGGCACAACCCTACATAGTCTACTGTAACATACAATATATGCTTGACACACCCCCTAGACTGGACAGGGGCAGTGCCTGATGAGAGAGAAACAGCTCAGGGTGGCACTACTTGTCCAGCCTCTAAGGAATGGGTCTAAAGACCAATCAAACAAGTACAGACAAGGCAAGAGCAAGACCAAGGTGGCACTACTAGTCCAACCACTTAGAAGAGGCCACAAGGCCAATGTGGATAGTATATATAGAAGGGTCTATACACAATCAAGGTCCTAGCAAGTGAGAGGCTACATGAACAAGACCTAGCTGTACACAGTGCCGCTGATGATCTTTAGGCGCAAGCGCCTTAGTAAAGATATCAGCTGTGTTGGCACCTGAGGCCAAGTGTACTACACGAGCCTGGCAACGCTGCTGCAGCTCGCGCTGGAGGAAGTACCGCAGCTGGATGTGCTTCGCTCTGCCCTCAAGTCGTGGCTCCTGACATAGGAGGATCATGGCCCTGTTGTCAGCGTACAGAACTGGGGCAGAGCTAGGCTGCTCAGCCAAGTCGGCGAGCAAGAAGGTCAGCCAGCAGAGCTCCTGTGCCGCCATGGCACCTACGTAGATCTCAGCGTCTCAACTAGACTGGGCAACAGACGAGGAGCGAGTGGACCTCCACGAGATGGCACCTGCACCAAGGCTAAAAGAGTAGCCCTGTGAGGACCTGAGAGTCTCAGCGTCGTCTGCCCAAGAAGCGTCTGTGTGACCGGTCAGGACCACTGGTCTCCGTCCTCCTAGCACGAGCCCCATACCCGATGTACTTGCTAGATAACGCAAAACCCTCTTAGCTGCTGACCAGTGCTGGGGTCGATGTCTACCAGGTGCGACAAAGCGAGCCAAGATGCTGAGAGGGAATGCGAGATCTGGACGAGTGCAAGTCATCAGGTACATGAGGGGCAGAGCCAAGGTAGCGGCGCAGCTCTCCTAGGTCAGTGCAGGTGTGTCTCCTCAGCAGCTTGGCCTTTACGGAGGCAAGTGCGTATCTGTCTGCAATAGCAAAGACCAGGTTGTCTACGTAGACAAGGATGTAGAACGGAGTCTGGCCGGAACGGACAAAGAGCGAAGGGTCTGCAGACAAAGGGAAGAACAGTAAGTCAGCAAGTGTAGCACGCAGTGTGTCGTGCCACTCACGGGGCGCCTGTCGTAGGCCATAGACGGGGCGCAGGAGGAGCCACTCGGTGCCACGGGGGAAGGTACCGGAGAAGCCCTGGGGGTGGCGCAGGTAGACTTGCTCGTGTAGACTGCCCTGGAGGAAAGCTGCGGAGAATTCGAGGGAGTGCAGCTCATAGTCACGCTGTGCTGCTACGTGTAGCATCACCCGAAGAGTGGTCATCTTCGGGGTCGGGGCGAAGGTCTGAAAGAAGTCCACCCCTTCACGCTGATTGAAACCTCGAGTGACGTAGCGCGCCTTGAACACAGGCAGCTCTTCAGGAGGGCGCTTGACCTTGAAGAGCCAGCGGCCATCGCCTACGTTCACCCCAGGTGGGGGAACTGCGGCGACAAAGGTACCAGTGGAACTCCAAGATGCCATCTCCTGCTCCATGGCAACTATCCGCTGAGAGGCCCAGGGTCCCGAGGTGGCCTCAGCGTAGGTGCGAGGGGTCAGGATATAGAGGGCGTCTGTGTCACCCTCAGGGACTCCTCAGCAGGGACAACCTACGGGAGGGGGGTGACGTGAGACACACCAGTTGGGGCAGGGAGGGGAAGGGGGTGGACAGGGTCGACCGGGGAAGGGGCGGGCACCAGGAACCGGGGGGGGCTGACCGGGGGACCACAGTGGGAAAAGCGGTGGTAGAAGGAGACGGACTCGTCAAAAGTGACGTCACGATAGTGAAAGAACCGGTGAGAAGGCGGGTGATAGAACTACCAGTCCGACGAGTCAAGGGGGAAACCTAGAAAGACACTGGGGACAGTACATGCAGTGAGCTTGTCCGTGCTCAAGGCATGAACATGAGCAAGGCAGCCCCAGACGTGGAACGCAGACGCGTCACCGGGGGACCCGGTCCAGAGGAGGGTCGGCGAAACCTGCGACGACGGAGAAGACTGTGCCAGTCAAGGAGGTCAGGCGACGGGCCAAAGCGGAGTCGAAACAGGACGTCTAGGCGTCGAAAGCAACGAGCAGAGGTATGACCAATCTTACCGCACACGAGGCCGCGACGAGGACTGGTCTGGAGCTGGTACTGGCAGCGCTCGTCACTCGAACCACCACTCGACGGCACGCCGCGCGAGCGACCACTACGACCACCGTCACCTCCAGCTCTAGGCCACCCGAGCGGGAGACGGCCGACCCTCCGCTACTGCTGCTGCTGCTGGTCTGGCTGCGGAGTCTGCTGTTGCTGCTGCTCCGGAACAGTGGGGGTGAGGTCAGCGGAGTGGAGACTAAGGAAGAGATCGCGAGCGGTGGCAAGGCGGTCAGGGAGGCAGGTGGCAAGCAGGTAGAGGGTAGAGCAGATATGGGGCTGAAACACATGAAGCTGAGCCTCAGTGCACGCATCTCGCCAGGTGGTGTCTAACGTGCGCAGGTGGGCAGCGAGGTCAGCGACAGTGGGGAAGGACGCAAGGTCAGCAAACAGCAAGGGCAGGATAAGGCGACCTACAGAGGCAGAGGGCTGGGTGGAATAGCGTGCAACAACAACGTCTAGGAACTCTTGCGCAGTCCAGACTGACCTAAAGCGGGGGCGCTCGGACAGGGGAAGGGCATGACTAATCGCAAGCTAAGTGACAGCGTCACGCGACAACCAGACAGCATGAGCAAGGGCAGCAGCTGTAGTGGAGTCACGGTCTGCAAAGGTGGGGTCACCAGGGAAGGCAGCAGGGGGGTCCGGGCAGGGGAGCGAACCGTCGATGTGGACGGCCAGGGAGTGGCCGTCCTGCCACTGACCAGTCAGGCGGTGCTGGAGGTCGACGAGCCACGAGTCGAACTCAATCGGCTGCCCCTCCGCATCGAGATGCAGGACCGAGTCCGCCATCATGGTTGCTGCAGCAGTCGAAGGACAGTACAGGAGAAGGAGAGGGCGGCGGAAAGCGGTACTGCGTGATGCAGTGCGGTGGAGAGCGGTGCAGTGCGTTGCAGAGCGGTGCAGTGCGGTCTAGCGCGGTGCAATGCAGTGTAGTGCGATGCAGTGCGGTGCAGTGCGATGTAGTGCGGTGCAGTGGGATATAGTGCGGTGCAGCGCAATGCAGTGCGGTGGAGGCAGGAGCGGCAGGGGCTAGCTGCGCGACAAGGGCAACTGGGCAACGGGGCCGGGCGGGCGGCGGGCCGGCTGTGTGGAATAGGCCGGCGCGGGCCGGCTACGGGACGGCGACGGGCCGCGCAACCGGAAGGGCCGGCGACGGGCTACGGGCGCGGGCTGGTTGGGGGAGCGGGACGGGTCTGGCTACTGGGCGCCGGCGCGGGCCGGTGACGGGTCGAGTGCAGGCCAGCTATGGGGCGGGCGTGGGCCAGCTACGGTGCGGGCACGGGCCAGCTACGGGAGGGGCGCGGGACCGGCGTTGGCACGGCTATAGGACGGGCGCGGGCACGGGCCGGCGACAGGACGGGCGCGGCATGGGCCGGCTACACAGACGGGCGCGGGCATGGGCCGGCTAAGGGACGGGCGTGGGCATGGGCCGGCTAAGGGACGGGTGCGGCTACGGGCCGGCTATAGGACGGGCGCGGCAACGGGCCGGCTGCACGGACGGGCGCGGCACGGGCCGGCTACAGGACGGACGCGGGCATGGGCCAGCTACGCGACGGGCGCGGCTACGGGCCGGCTACGGGACGAGCGCGGCAAGGGCCTGCTACGGGACGGGCGTGGCAAGGGCCGGCTACGGGACGGGCGCGGCAAGGGCTGGCTACGGGACGGGCGCGGCAGTGGGCCGGCTACAGGAGGGGCGCGGCACGGGCCGGCTACGGGACGGGGGCGGCTACGGGCCGGCTGCACAACACGCGGGGCGCCGGGCCGGCTACAGTACGGGCGCGGCTACGGGCCGGCTACACGACGAGCGCGGCAGCGGGCCAGCTACGGGACGGGCACGGGCACGGGGCCGACTAGGGACGGGCCGGCTGCAGGGCGGCGAGGCTAGCTAGGAGACGAGCCAGCACGTGCGGGGCGGCTAGGACCTAGGGCGGAAGCTCTAGGGTGGGGAGGAGCTACCTACTCATCATACCATGTTGAAGTGAGAAAATTTAGGCTAGAACGGATCATACAGGGGTATATAGCCTAATGGGTTGTACTCCCTAAGGCACAAACCTATATAGTCTACTCTGCAACATACAATATATGTTGGGGATCGTCATCCAAACCTCGCTATTGGGGTCATCCTGTACCGTGCATGTATTTCTGCATGTTACGCCCCAAATTCATTTTGTAATATACATAAGACATGGGCGTTATATGTTTCCACCCATTCGTTTTTTTAATGATTTCTTGACAATACCCTAGGATGTTATATACGGGGGAATATGGTATGTCCTACAGTGCTGAGGAGATAATGCTGGCAAGTTGGACTTCATGAATCACGATGCACTCCAATGCAAGTAGACGTGAATGGCAGTTCCTACATGTCACACAACTGCCCAGCTGCGTTAACCATTATCACTCACTCACCACCCCTTCCTGCCTGCAGCTACAGTTGCTAGCCACAAACAAGACACAGCAACCACCCCACCAGCAGCACCAAAGCAGAAAGGAACAGTCCACAGCCCACTGCTGCTGCCTCTGCCCACCACCAGACCACTCCCTCTCCTGCCTTCACCGCCACCACCAGCTTCCGTGCCTCCCACTCCTTTAACTCCATGTGCAAACGCTCCAGGGGCAAAACGAAGAGGCACAGGGTTATTAGCGACAGTAGAGGCAGAAGCAGCAGTAGCAGCAGCAGCAGCAGCAGCAGCAGCAGCAGTAGCACGAACGCCGGGGCTGCTGCTAACCCTCTGAGAAACGTGCACCTGGTTGCAGGTGTGCGGAGTGATTATGCCCTGCAGGCCTTGAGATGGAGCATTCTTGCCCTTCGATGAATCAGCAACCAGCGCTTCACTAGAGCCCACCAGCCCTCCCCTCTCTGCCAATTGCATCCCCCTCCACAGTTCAGGCACCTTCCCCGTCCAATCTCCCAGACCATCCTCCTCCCTCCCCCCACCTTCCTTCGCAGTTTCCGCCTGCTCAATTTGGCTTGATCCTCCCCCTGCTAGCAGCTGCAGCTGCTCTCGTTCCTTAGGCAGATCTGCTACACTGCTGCTGCGGTTCCCTGACCCACCACCACCACCGCAATTGGTGGAGTCGTTGGTGCTACTGCTGTTGCTCTGCTGCCCTCCCCCCTCCCACCAAGCACCTTCTCTGCTGCAGCGGCTGCCATACCTGCAGCTGCCGCCACCAGCACTGCTGCTGCCACTGCTGCTACCAATGCTACTGTTGCTGGCACTCTTGCCGAAACAGCCAACCGGCTTCTCCTCCTGCTGCTGCTTTCCACCACGAATTACTTCCACCACACGTCCCTCTCGCGTCACTCGACCTTCTTCTTCCCTCCCCCAGCCCTCCACCACACCAGGTATACCCTCCTCCAATACCCCACCGTTTCTCCAGCCCCTGCTGCTGCCCGCAATGCTCCGACTGCCAATACCAACAGTACCGGGTGTCACAGTAACGGGCGTGACAATGGTGGGAGTGATGGCTGTAGCAGGGGTGGAGGATGCCAGGAGGGTGTCTCTGACAAGCAGCAGCTGCAGCAGCTGCTGGTGCTGAAGCAGCATGGAGTAGACAGCAGATGCCGGCACTTCCACCCCCATTGCAGCAGCAGCAGCAGGGTCTGCAGGACTAATAACCACAGCACCAGCAGAACCAGCAGCGTCAGCAGAACCAGCAGCGCCAGCAGAGCCAGAAGCACCAGCAGTGATAGCAGAGGCCGCAGCGGCAGCGACAGCAGGAGAGGAGATGGTGGAGGGTGTGGGGAAGGCGGAAGCAGAGTGGAGAGAGGAAATTCTGGAGTTGGATGGGAGGAGGGGAGGTAGTGCTGCTGCTGCTGCTCCTAGTGCGCCTGGTATCACTCCTTCTGAGGTTATCACTCTCTCTGCGGGTATCTGGACCACTCCTCCTGCTCCCAACGCTCCTGGTACTATGGGGGCATCAACAGTTGGAATCACAGGAGCGCTAAGAGCAGTATCACCTGCAGCAGTAGCAGCAGCAAAACAGGCAGGCGAGTCTGAGACGAGGACAGAGAAGCTTCGCGCCCCTGATTGCCCCTGCCGCTCGCACTGCTGTTCGCAAAGCTGCTTCTGCTCGTGCTGATGCTGCTGGTACCGACACTCGTGAAGCTCGCCCTGCTGCTGCCGCCGCTGCTGCTGCTGCTGCTGATTCTGCTGACTATGCAGTTTCATGGCCACAGGAGTGCATGGCCCAGAGCCGGCAGCGGAGACTGCGGAAGAGCCGGCAGCAACTGAGCGCGGGGTGTAGAATGGAGCAGAGCAGGTTGCATGCGAAAAAGCGGGGCTGGGGGTAACAGAGCCATGCGAGCAGACGGAAGAGGCGGAGGACAACTGAGGGGGATGGAGACGAGGCAAGACGCACTGGCAGCCACGCTGTAGAGGAGGAGGGACATTGTCCTGCTGGCCAATGTGCTCACAACTCCCTGCTCCCAGCCCGTGACGCTGGAGCTGATACTGGTCGTGATACTGCTCGCGGTCAAAATTGCGGTGATACTGGTGGTGGTGGTGATACTGGTGATACTGGTGGGAATCATGACCGGAATCATAGTGCGGAGAAATCATATGACTGCTTCCACTGGCAGGCGTCTCACAACCGTCAGAGCCCTCGATGAGGGTGTCGTGCCACGTGCCATGGCTGACGGTCCTGCTCAGCCTCTCGCCCCTCTCGTGCCTGCCCCTGCTGCAGCACCGGCTGCTGCTGCCGAAGCTGCCGCTGCTGATGCTGCTGCTGGAGCGAGCGAGGCAATGCGGCCCTCGCTGGTTTGGAAGGGGCTGGCTCGGAAATAACTGGTGCGGCAGAAGCTGGCTGGGAAGCTGGTTCGAAAAGTGCAGCGCCTGTTTACTGCAGTGATCATCCCGAAGTGTGTCTCTTCTGTCCTCTGTGCAGCGCCAGTTACCATCTCTGTTGAGCTGCTGGTGGTCACAGTGACGGCAATCGTGCATACTGCCCCTACCCTTCCATTGGTGGTGGTGCAACACACTTTCCTCCTCGCTCTCACTGCGACCGTCCTTCCAGCACTGCTTGACCCCATGCCTGTCAGAGAAGCCGCCAGCACCTCCGCCCATGTGCTTGCCAGACCGTGTGAGTGCACCACGATGGCCCCTTGCACTCCTCCTCACGTCACGACAAGCAACGCCATCCCGCTCACAAACCCCCCTCTTCTCCCCACACCCGTACCCTCCTGCACCGCACACCACCTCCTTCTGCTCCCCGTCTTCCTCTCTCCAGGCCTCCCCACCACCATCACCACCACCGCGGCCGCTGGTTTCCTCTCTCCGCCGCCCTGTCGCTGCCGCGGGGAACGAGAGGCGCGCCACCCCGCCGCTCTCTTCCGCCCCTCCGCCAATTCTGCGCCTCACAGCGTATTGCGCGCAGAGGTCATCCGTCCGCGCGTCGTTCTCAGCCTCCTCCTCTTCCCCCGTTGGGCCTTGCGCGCTTTTCTCGAAACCATCCAAACAACTCTCCTCCCTGCCCTCTTCCCTCTCCTCCCTCTCCCCTCTCTCCTCCCTCTCCTCCCTCTCCTCCCCCTCCTGTCCCCCTCGCCCCGCCCTCTCCCGCTCTTCCAGCTCCCCCTCCACCTCCTCCACCCGCACCGCCATTTCCTCCACCTGCTCGTCGCGCGCCGCCAGCGCGTCTCTAAGCAGCGCCAGCTCGTCCTTAAGCGACCGCTTCTCGCGCTCCGCCGTCGTCGCGCGCTGCCGTAGCGCCGCGATCGACTGATGCTGCTGCTCCACTAACGAGACCAGCGACGCGTTCTCGTATTGAAGGGCCCTCGCCACCGGCGGCGGATCCGTTATAAGGGGATCCATCAGTGGAGTGTCCATAACCGGGACGATGCTGTTAGCTGAAATCCCCGCGGAGCAGGTAGTAAAAGGAAGACCGGCCGAGTCATCGTCAGCGGGATTCGCGGCGGCAAACGCGGCGAGACCACTCGGCGAGAAGACCTCGTCATCGACGCCGCGAGACCAGTCGGCCCCACTGGGAGGAGTAGCCGCTGCCATTGTCGAGAACGAATGCCCCGGGTTCGAATCCTGTCATGCGCAGAAGGGGCTAGAAAGCTTTCAATGCTGGCACAGAACTTGACGCCTATTATGTACCGATAACAGCTAACTGCACTGCGCCTACTAAGCAACGACTGCTTCCAACTAAGGCTTTACTACCCAGACGATCCAATGCGGGTAGATATGGCGCCCGTCGACATGCGCCGCGCATCAATCCTGGCCCCGACTAAAAGTACCGCTTGCTCCCAATTCCCATCATGATGACGATGCGCCCAAAACAAATCCGACCAGGAATGCTGTCAGGTTTAGGGGAGAAAGAATCACGCACGATCGCCCTGGCCGATGAATAGATGCCGTTGATTAGTCACGGACGGCCACATCCGCCATGGCTGGTCGGGCGGGCTGTGCGTCAACTTCAGCTTCTCTTCTCTTCCCACCCCGAGACTATCAGAATCGCACTCGACGATTTTTGAAAATTGAAACTCGTCTCGCCGCCAGCTGGTACATGCGAGAGGAGGCGAGGCGAGGCGAATGGCGTAGGGAAGGGTAAACGCACGTGATGCTTTTCACGTGAGGCGCAGCTAACGGACGTCCCTCCTGCCTCCTCTCCTGTCTCTCCTCGTCTCTCCTGAATCGCCAAGTCGTTTTACACTGAAGACCAGACCAGACCACAACTCCACGACAACGTCCCTCCAGGCCAATCCGAGAAGGAGCTGATCAGGAAGAAAGCCAGCAAGGCACGGCTGAAACAGCAACGACTGCACTGCTAGAGATTTGGGAGTGGCCTTTGAAATGCTCTTGTGGGGATAAAAGTGAAGTGTACGGAAAGACTCCGTAATTTATGTAAGGTTGAGATTGAGAGACGAGGGGAGGTGAGAGAGGGAGGGATGTTTTCAAGGCCTGGGCAGGGCACGAGTAAAACTTCATCGCTTGCGCTTGGTTTGGCGGAGAGAGCTATTCCGCTGGAGGGCCGTCGAACACGGATGACGCGATTCGTGGGTTGATGGGTTGCCCCCGGGCCCCGGAGCGGAGGGGAAGAGGGGGCGGGGTTTTGGGGGAATTCGGCTCGGTGTCAGGAAGGTGGACGTGGCTCGTTGGGGAGAGGTTTCGTGAAGGGGGGCTCCGTCACATGCGCCCAGGGCACGATTTGCGCATGCGGAGCGCCAAGACACCAGGGAAGTGTGGTGGTTGCACATTGGCTGGCTCATTTATCGGACGGTGTAACGTGACCTTTCTGAAACATCGACGGCGCATGGCAGCTTTTGGTCTGGCGTGGTGTGTTTGGTTGGTGGGGTCGTGGTGGTCCCACCCAACCGTCCCTTCAGGGATTCGGCTTTGCCACGTGTACACTGAGTCCGCGTTATTTTCACACCCAGGATTTTCACAGGGGGTGCCGCAGAGAGGGTTTTCTTCCCCCGAAAGCAGCTCCTGAAGACCAGAACCGGATACCATTGAAAAACAAATTTATTTGGAATTCTATACGAAACGTTTACTGCTCGATTTAGTGTTTCTCGAGTCAGGAAACCCGATGTCAGCTTTGGCAGTGCTCAAAGTTTTTGTCCGCGTTGAGTCTGCCACGCTTAGGCCGTAGGAACAAGGGAATACTGTCTACGCACTCAGAGATGGTCAGGGTGGAAACAAAAATTCTCATGGTGTGAAATTACGCCTAGTTTCATGGTGTGAAATTACCGCGGGCTAGGTGTACTCCAACCAAAGAGTCCACAGGGTTGGCCAGCCAATCCAATAGCGATGTCTACCTGGTTTTGGTTCTGGTTGAATTCAAATGACAGTAGAGAAAAATTAGTTAACACATAAAAATCTAATTGCACACTGTGAAAGCAAAAGTGAAAGCAACTAGAAAGCAATATAATAGCTCCAATCATGCTGTCAGTGCACGCATAGAATCATACCAGTATTCTACCATGCACTATGGTCGCATGCTTGGGAAAAAGGCAAGCCCCTGCATGTGGCTGCATCATTAGGCACCAGGAAGGAAGAGTACGTTGTCGAAGACCTGATGCCAACAGAAAAGTCGTGTAGTCTCACTGGCTAACACTGGCTTTGGCACTAGCAGTGGCGCTGGCACTGGCACTAGCAGCACAGTACAGTAGCCTGTCAGGATTCTGCTGTCGGCAACAGAAAAGTGGTGAGGCGCTAAGCTAGCCTCACTGGGTGACTTCCCATCCCGGACCAACACAAGCCCCAGTGGGGCTCGAATGAATTGAGGGACTCACACGTGACTGGAGCTGAGAGAGAAGACCGGCAACAGGCAGCTAGCTAAGACTGGCAGCTGCTGCTGAAGAAAGAAGAGGAAGAGGAGGAAGGGGGACTTTACCCTCCATGTTACAGGAACCGTAGATGGTTGGTGGGTTGCCCTGGAAAATAGGTCAGCTGCAGAATAGGGTCTGCAGGTTTGTCGTCACAGAATAGACCAAAGAGCTCCACAGGGCAACTAGAAGACTGTTCAAGTAGTTACTGCAACCACTGCAGGCACTGCAAGCACTGCAACGACTGCAGATGGGAGAAGTTATGACAGGCTGTTGCAGCGCTGCAGCCTGGGCCCCTTGCTGCGCCTCCACCTGCCCCCAGCCGCTCCAAACACCCTCTGTTTGATGCTGCCTTGCACCGCCTTGGCCTCACTGCTCAATCTGCTGGCAGCAGGCACAGCAGGAGCAACACTGCCGCCCATAACACCAGCAGCTGCAGCAGCAGCAGCAGCAGAGGAGGTGGAGGAGGAGGAGGAGAAGGAGGAGGACGGGGAGAAGAGCACAGCGGAGCAGCGACGCTTGATGTTGCGGAACAGGCCACTCAGCAGCGACGCCTGATATGTGCCGCTTGCACTGCCGCCACTGCTGCTGCTCTTGCCGTTGTTGCTGCCACCGCCGCTGCTGCTCTTACCGCCACCGCGTCGGCCGTGACCAGAAGACACAGAGCCTCTGCCCGGTGCGGGCAGCACGGTCTTAGGCGACCCAGACGCAGAGCCAGAAACAGATCCGGCACCATCAGCAGCGCCGTCTGCAAGCGCCGCCCCCCGCGCTCCATCCATGCTCAGCCGGCCTCCTCCGAGCCCGTCGCTGCCGCTCCTGCTATTGCTGCTGTTACTTCCGCTGCTGTTGCCGCTGCCAGCAGACGGGTTCATGCTCCTTGGCCCGTCAGCGCCGGCCTTGGCGCTTTCGCGTCCGAAGTACCACGGCTCGTGGTCGTGGTCGTGGTCGTGGTAGTGTTCGCGGTTGTCGCCTCCCGGTTGCTTGGCGGCGACGACGTGCTCCTCCGCTGCTGCTGTTCCGTCGCCGGTAGCAACATCAGGACCAGCAGCAGCAGCACCATCAGCAGCATCATCATCAGCAGCAGCAGCAGCAGCAGCATCGTTGTCGTCCGTCTCCTCGAAGGTGAACTCGTAGAGCACCTGCTCGCCACCGTTGCCGTCGCCGATGCACGTGAGGTCCACCTCCATGATGCGCATGTGCTGCTGCTCCATGCGCCGACATGACTCCTCGATCTCTGCCAAGGGTTGGAAACAAAACAAAACAAAACAAAACAAAACCAAACCCAAAGGAAGAAAGAAAGAAAGAAAGAAACAGAGGGATACGATTCAACACGACTGCGCGGAACCTCGTAACATCACGCGAAATTGGACCCCTCGGCGTGCGAAACCATGCGGGAGGGCAGAATGAGACACAGAGGCCCATATTTACGTCAATTGAGCAGCGCCGGTGGGACTTACGGGTCCAATTATACGTCGCCGCAGCAGCAGCGGGTTCAGGCTCCGCGTCTTCGTTAAAAGCAGCTCCGGCAGGCCCGTCGTAGTAGTACCCGGGACCGAGCCCGAGCCCATTCTGGGGGTTGTCGAGGCTATCGATGTAGGTGTCGAGCGAGTCTTCAGCCCCTGCGAGCAGCAGAAAGGAAGAGAGAGAGGCATGGCCGATGCAGAGAAAGCACGGTGAGGCAAGGCGCGAGCGACCGACATACAGTGACAAGGCGACGACGAAGCGACGACAAGGCGACGACTAGGCGACGACAAGGCGACGACTAGACGACGACAAGGCGACGACTAGGCAACGACAAGGCGGCGGCGACTAGGCGACGAACAGCGACAAGGCGACGCGACGACCCTAGACCACGGACGTGCCGCCAATGAAACTCGAACGTCAGCCGCAGCGGCATCACAGCTTATCGCATCGCACTCACATGCGGCCTCGTTCTCCTCCGCGATCCCGTCGTAGCACTCCTCGGCCGACGCCCACGCGCCGCCGCCGCCGCCCCAGCGGCTCGCGGCGGCGGGATAGAAGCGGTCCGACTGCGTGAAGTCGGGGCGGTAGATAGACTGCGCGGGGAACAGCCGCGCGGGGACGGCCGCGGGCGGAAGCGCAGAGTGCATGGCGGAGAGCGACTGGGGGAACTCCCCCGCGGACGGATGCATGGGCCCGCTGCCGGCGTTGCTGCCTGTCGCGGTGTTGGCGGCGGTGGTGGTGGCGGTGGAAGCAGACGTAGAAGTAGACGAACTAGTCGAGACGCTGAGAGAAGAAGGGGGGAGGTGCACAGCGCGAAATTGGCCGCTGTGGCTGCTGCTGCTGCTGCTCTCGGCAGCCATGGGCGGATGATACTCCAGCGCGGAAGAGAGTTGGTGAGAACCCAGGTTCCCGCTGTCGCGAGGCGCGCTGTGGTGCATCCGCGCGTTCGCGCTTGTGGCGGCGGTTTGAGGCGACTCGAGGCGGGCTTGTGCGTAGCGGTTTAGAAGCTGCGACAGAGCCGTAAAAGAAGCTGATTAGAGGGGTATTAACGACTGGGGATTGGCGAAGCGCTCTGCTGGTCGGCGGTCCGGAAGCGTGTTTCTCAAATGTGAAGGTGAAGTGCGGCGGCTCGAAGATGGTTCGAGTGAAGTGGAAGTCACGTGGATACGAAAAGAAATGAGGATGCGTCTGTCGGTCAGGAGGACTCGGGGTGAGGTGAGATGGAATAAGGCTGGACGCGTTTACTGGAAGCAAGAGAGAGTGGATGATCAAGAAACGAAAGCCGTGGTGGTGGTTGTATAATATTGCTGGGTCTGCCTTGCTCAGTGGCTGACTATGAGCTGACCTCCGTCCAGCGCACACCGTGCACTTTTTGTGTCGAGTGCACGAGGAGTGTGAGCTGGGTTGGGCAAGCGCACGAGCGCAAGGCGGAAAAAATTTGCCGGCCCTCTCTAGCGCAAGGAAGCGAGTGAGTTGCCCCGGCCACCTACTTGACTGACAGACAGGTCCCAATTTTGCACATGTGCGCCCGCGCAAAGTGATCGGGGTTTCCAGACATGGTTTGGTTCTTCACACTCGAGTTTACGGTTCACCACGGGCTCGGCGATAAGCATGAAGATTCTAGTGTGAAACTGGAGTGGTTGGGATTGTTTTAAATTGACCGAACCCAGTTCTTTGTCAAGAGACCCGAAGGGGGTCGATAAAATCTTCCCCAACTCCTCAGCACATGGAGTGGGGCAAACGAGGCGCACGCAGGGTTTCCCTCCCTCCCCAAACCAACTTCCCCCTCCACCCCCACCTCCCCCACAAGCCAAACCCCAACCTTCCACCCCACACACAAACCTCCCCCCAACAAACCCCCCTTTTCCCCTTCCCACCCTTCCCCCGCTCTGATCTGAGTGGAGCACAGGACAAGAAGCAGCGACGATGTGCCAGCGGGGAGGCGGTGATCTAACGCACATCCAGCGAATGTGAAGGCGGGGCGGTGCGGTAATCTTTGGCTGACTCGAACAGAGGAAATGGAAGATCGATGACTGCGGTGCGGTGCGGTTCCGCTGTGCACCTGACGACTCGATCGGACCGCCGCCGGGATTGGGCTACGTGGCTCGTGGTTGGTAGAAACTCGCCACATGAAAAGTTTCTGGTGCCACGTGCGACGCATCTCATCCCGAACTTTGCCGCGCTGGACACACGGGCTGGTTAGTAGCGGGTCAGCAAAGAGATGGCGATTTTTGTCAGTCACAAAGAACGTTTGGCGCAGACAAATATTGCATTTAATGCGGAACTAAACGTGGCAGCACTGGATAGGCGGTTTCGTTCTCTCCCGCGCTTTTTTTTCCTTCAATTGCGTTCCTGATTTTAGGTGACGCAGATCTAGCTCCAGATTTGCCTGTGGATACAGTTCTCGTTCTGGTTATTCACATAATGTTTGTGTATAGCATGAAGAATGACAACGTTGTGGAGTCTTCAAGTTTGTACTACATTACTACATTCACCTTCAATCGAGTCTTCAGATATGTTCACTCCATACAAGATCATTTGACATCTGGTTATGAGAGTAACGTGTGTTGTCCCTGTGGAGGATTCCTGAACTTTCTGTCACTCCATCAAACCATCATCCATCTGGCATCCATGCATCCATCCATGCATCCATCCCACCACCACCCACACACCTCCCTTCTCACCCCTTCAAAGTCCAAATCCTAGTTGCACGAGAGATTAGGGTCAGCCAAGTTAGGGTTAGTTGTCACTCGGCTTCCGCTAACACTCCGTGACTCCACGAGCCCCATGGCGAGGTACGTGCTCGTCTCGCGTTCTTCCTTAGGTCCTCGTTACTCTGACCGGAAGCCGTTTCGAGAGTTTGTGGAATTCTTCTTATCTAGACGGTGTCGTTGACCACCTTCACCTTCAACATCTCCATTCGCTTCCTAAATTGCTTCTTTCTCCTCTTTCATCTCCGTCCCGCCTGTCCTCTCCCCTTCCCTCCCGTGTTCTCTCGCTCCGAAATGTTTCTTTGCACGTTGAGCCTTCTATCGGTCAGCTGCTCGAGTATTTTTTTATTCGTTGTGATGCAATTCCCTTGCATAACATTTTCGCCTCCCGTCCGTAGCGAGTTGGCTTATGGGTCTTTTCCCGTCCTTCTACCTGGATAATTTCGTCTTATTTTCTCACCGCCGTCAGTCCCCAGCATGGCGACGACGGTCGCGTCGACCCCAACTTAGTGGACTTCGACGACTATGCCGATGCGGATCCGCAAGGCGACGCGGCCGCAGGAGGCGGAGGCGGCGGCGGCGGCGGCGGCGGCACGGCCGACGGTAACGATAACGGTAACGATAACGACGACGATGCGTACTACGATGCGCGGCTGTTCGAAGACGAGGAGCCCGAGGATCGCGGCGCACGGCGGCTCGTGAAAAAAGGCGGCGGAGGGGGGAGGGAGGACGAGGAGGAGCGGTGGGAGGAGGAGGAGGGCGGGGAGGGGTGGGCGGGAGCGGACCCGTGGGACAGGAGGGATAGGGGGAAGGGGGGGAAGCGGAAGAAGGGCAAGGAGGGGAGGAAATCGGGGGGTAGGCTTACGAAGGTTAAGAGACCCCGAGGAGGGGACGAGTGGGGCGGCGGGGGCGGCGGAGGGGGGTATGAGGAGGGCGGCAGGGAGGCGTGGGACCAGGAACCGGCTAATTCTGAGGTGAGTGCGGGAGATGGAAGGAGAGGGAGACGATGTGAGGAGAGGGATGTGAGGAGAGGGATGTGAGGAGAGGGATGTGAGGAGAGGGAAACACATGGGGAAGTGGGCGATATTTGTCTATTTACGAGGGGCGTTATCGTTTCTTTTTCTTTTTCTTTTTTTCCCTCGTAGCTGTGTGTCTGTCCTTGCATCTTTGAGCCCAGCTCCCACTTTCCTGCCTGCTGCTTCGCTCTCTTCCTCGTCCCCTACCGCACCTTTCCCATCTCTTCTTTTCCCCATTACTCTTGTACCCGAAACCCCCCCCCCCCGCACTCGCGGTACCGGTTCGTTTCCCGCTTTATTCCTTTCCCTCCTCCTTTCCTCACCGTATTTTCCCCGACAAACCCCCGCCAACCTACCGCCGATTCCCGCCAATTCCCGCCAATTCCCGCCAAACCCCCCCATCCCCCCGGCAGGAGGACGTGGAGGGCGCGCGCACGCGCGAGGACGAGGCGTTCATCGACGACGCGGGCGTGCACCCGGACGACCGCGGGCACCTGGCGTACGACGACTACGACGACCAGCGCATCTCCAACGCGCCGCAGGTGCGCATGGGGAGATTGGGGAGGGTTAGGGGGGATTGGGGGGATTGGGGAGGGTTTGAGGGGGATTGGGGGGATTGGAAGGTGTGGGGAATGCAGCCTGACGACCAGGGGCACTTGGGGTACGACGACGACTACGACGACCAGCGCATCTCGGACGCGCCGCAGGTGCGATTGGAGAGAGGAATGGGGAGCACGGGAAGTTTGGGAAGGGGTTGGGGAGGGGGGAAAGGGGAGAGTGTGGCGATGTATACCCGTGTCCCATATTTCTCAATTCGCCTCTATCACTCCCATCCGCACCTCTTCTCGCCAACCGCCCCCCCCCCCTTCACCCCTCCAACCCCCTCTCGCCCCCCCTCTCCTTTCCTTGTGTCAGGCGGAGCAGGAGGACGAGGTGGGGCGGCTGTTCCAATATCTCTCGTTTGACCCCCAACCCCGTTTTCCTGTTCTCCCGCGTGTGCAAGCGGAGCAGGAGGACAGGTGGGGCGGCTGTTCAAGGGCGGGAAGCCCTTCTCGTTTCGCCTTTTCCGCCCCCCACCCTCACCCTTGCCCCAACCCTCCCCCCCCCCCCCCCACCCCCCCACCCCCTTCCCCTCTGTTTGCAGGCGGAGGAGGAGGACGAGGTGGGGCGGCTGTTCAAGGGCGGTAAGCGGCGGCGCAACGAGATGAGCGACGGCGAGAAGGCGCTGTTCGTGGCGGAGTTCCACGCCAAGATGCTCAAGGCCGCCGAGGACGACGCGCTCGCCAACCGCCAGCACCGCCCCGCCATCAACAAACTCCGGATGCTGGGGGAGATGCTCAGCACGCTCAGAAAGTGAGACACGGGGGGGAGGGGGGGAACGGGGGAGAGAGGGCAAGGGGGAGTAATGGGAAGGAATGGGATGCGGACCGCCAGCACCGCCCTGCGATCAACAAGCTGCGCATGCTGAAGGGGGAGATGCTGAGCACGCTCAGAAAGTCTATTTTTGAGGCGCCTCAAAAATCAACAAGCTGCGGATGCTGGGGGAGATGCTGAGCACGCTCAGAAAGTGAGACACGGAAGGCGGAGGGGGGGGGGGGGGGGGGGGGGGAGGGAAGGGGGGCAATGGGACGGAATGGGATGCCAACCGGCAGCACTGCCCCGCGATTAACACGCTGCGCATGCTGGGGGAGATGCCCAGTCAGCACGCTGGGGAAATGAGGCACGGAGGTGGGGTGGATGGGGTAGGGGGAGGGGGAGGGGGGGTTGGACGGGAGAGAGGAGATGGTATGAGGGGAAGCAATGCTTTAGGGGAGGTCTGCCCCCCCGATCGAGAAGCTCAGGGTGCTGGGTGAGGTGCTCAGCACTCTCAGAAAGTCATTTGAGTCGACTCAAAAATCACCTACGGATGCTGCTGGGTGAGGTGCTCAGCACGCTCACAAAGTGAGGGGAGGGGTTTGTCTCTCTGAGTTAGATGGTTGGTTTGTTTGTCTTTTATTTGGGGGGGGGGCAAAGGGGATGAGATGGCAAGGGGGGGGAGTGGAGTGGCGGTTGGTGCCTTGCTGCATTGCACGCCAACCGCCCTGCGATTCACCCGCTCTGGATGCTCTTAGAGGTGTCATTTTCTCCCCCCCGCCCTCCCTCCGACCAGTTAGCATCTGCAGCGCAAGTTCCTGGACCGCGGCATGTTCTCGTACCTCAAGAACTGGCTGGAGCCATCCGTCAGCTCTCACCCCTCCCTCCCACGCTGCTGTGTCCCTCCCTCCCTCCCTCCCTCCCTTCCGCCATCCCCCTCGTGTCCCCTTCTCCCCCCCCCCCCCCCAGGAAGCATCTGCAGCGCGAGTTCCTGGACCGCGGCGTGTTCTCGTACCTCAAGAACTGGCTGGAGCCGCTGCCGGACCTGTCGCTGCCCAACATCAAGATCCGCACCAGCATCCTCGAGCTCGTCAAGGAGGTGAGAGAGGTGCAGGAGGGGCGTCTTGGGCGGGGGGGAGTGATGAGGGGGACATCTGAGTGGGCTTGCCGCAGCATCCAGCATCAAGCCCCCATCAAGAGGACCCGTCTGTCGCTGCCAAACATCAAGACCCGCACCAGCATCCTCGAGCTCGTCAAGGAGGTGCGCGCTTGTGGGGGGGCAGAGGGGAGGGGGGTTCGGAGATGGGGGTGGCTGGGGTTGAGTGAGTGACTGGTGATGGTGGTGTATGGGGGAGATCCGCACCAGCATCCTCGAACTCGTCAAGGAGGTGCGTGCCGCGCTTGTGGGGGTCTTTTGAGTCGACTCAAAAGCGCCGCGTTTTGGGGGGGAAAGGTGCTGAAAATTCTCGGTGAACAGAGAAGCTATATCGGTGATAAACGGTTGAGAGAGTTAATTCATTCACCTGTCACCCCCTATCTTCGCGTCTGCGTATTCATCTTCCCCCCATGCCCACCCTAACTTCCCTCTGCCTCTATTTTTGAGGAGCCTCGAAGCTATTCCTCCCTCTTGTGCCTACCCTAATTTCCTCTCTCTCTCACTCTCTCTCTCTCTCTCTCTCTCTCTCTCTCTCTCTCTCTCTCTCTCTCTCTCTCTCTCTCTCTCTCTCTCTCTCTCTCTCTCAAGCGGTCCGTTTATTGCTTGGAATCCTGAGTACAGGCTAGGCAGGTGGGGAGCGACAAGTCATGGTACGTGCATGTTGGGAGGCTCGGTCCTACTCGAGCTCCCCTAGGGGCTCGGCTATGGCAAAGCAGTCACCTGGCGCCATGTCGGCGTCAGGGGTGCCCACGGGGGTGTGGGGGGCAGGGGAGGCTTCATTTGCTTTGCCCAGGTAAGCCAAGGCCTGTGCCCGCTGCAGCGTCACTGACCATCGTTGGCGAAACTGGTGGAGCAGTTTCGCTGCCTGGTAGGAACTGGGGTCCGCATTGAAGAGTCTCCTGGCCCCTGTGTCTGCCAGCAGCTTCAAAAAGGTGGGGACCTCGGCGCAGGGGCAGCCATAAGTCTCCACGGCCAGGGGGAAGAAACCGACATAAGGTGCGCGGTTACGGTAATGGTCAATCTTTTTGTCGGCTTGCTCCCGGGCCATATATCCCCGCCCCTTACGAGCGTGTGGGTCCCGGGTGCTGATGGGATCCGTGACAGTGACGTCACAGATCCAGACGGCACCCGAGTTTCTGTCGCGCATGGCTAGGTCGGCCTTATGACCGTCCACCGGACTGTAGATAGTGGTCTCCTTGGTGACGATGAACCCGGCATCCCGCGCCATACGGATGCATTCGTCGCGAAGTGCATTGTGGGTGTCTGTCCGGCCATGCCCCGTGCCGCAGCGGAAGAGGTGGTTGGGCAGCCGGGGGTCAAGTATCTCGGTCCCGTCGGCGCAGTTGCAAGTGCGTGGGGCCGGGAAAGGGAGGCCGAGACGGAAGGCGAGGGCGATGGCAAAGTGCGGAGGTCCGAGGCGGAGAGAAGGGAAGATGGGGACGGCGTGGATCCAATCCCCTGCCCCGTAGCCCGCCAGAGAGAACAGGCGCTGTGTGTGGCCGGAAATGGGGTTCAGCTCCATCCCGCGGGACGCCGCCACTTGGTCCGCATATCGGGCGGCGTGGACTTCAAGGGAGAGTCGGTGCTGGAGTGGGGTTCCGGATGGCTCCTCGCGTTCGGAGCGCAGGAGCTCTAGTGCATGGGTCGGCATGGCCGCCTCACACCCTGCCAGCCAGGTATGGAGATGGTTGGGGCCAGAGAAGGGGGGGGTGAGGGGGCGCAGTGCGGACGCCAGGGGCCCTGCTGCTGCTGCTGGCAGGGCGGCGAGGAGGTGCTGCGCCTGGGTGACGCTGGTCAGGAAGGCTGCAGGGCCTTCAATGGCGGGGTCGGAGAGGCCTAGCCCTCCGAGCGATGGCGGAAGTGAGGCCTGGGCCCAGGTGCGCATTCGTTCGGCTTCCCCTCGAGGGAGTTGGAGTTTGCATGCGCCGAGGAGGGTGTGGAAAAGCCCCCGTCCCCACTCCGTCCACTCGGGTTGTGGGAGGAAATCCAGCGGCGTGGTGCGGGTCAGGTAGCTGACCCGCCGCGAGATGCAGCGCGTAAGGAGGAGAGAGGCCGTTTGGGGGTCCATGGTTGCAATGGTGGGGAGTGGCTCAGCCAGCGAGGCCAGCTGGGAACGGAGGAAAGCGGCTGAGCCCTCCGCTGTCCCGACAAAACTCCCCAGCACCCGCAGTCCCTCGCTGTGGAAAGGGACGTCCGGGGGAAGGGCGTCGGGTGGGGGAGGAGTTGGGGACCACGCCCCGCATTTCGAGGGGTTGTGCGTAAGGCCGATGGCCCCAATGGCGCCCGTGAAGTGGTGGAAGGCCGCTGCGCAGGCGGCCGGTGCACCCACGAACGTCACGTCATCTGCGTAGGCTAGACAGAGGACATCTGGGTGGGCGGTGGCTGTCGATTGGTAACACGGGGCGTCTCTCTCTCTCTCTCCCCCTCTCCATGTGTCCTTCTCCCCCTCTCCCCCCCCCTCCCCTGTCCTCGCCGCCCTGTGTCCGCCAGCTGCCAATAGACGTGGGTGGCAACACGGAGCGGAGGAGACAGCTCAAGGAAAGCGGGCTAGGCCGGGTGAGTGGGTGGGGTGAGTGAGTGGGGTGAGTGAGTGGGACGGGTGGGGTGGGTGAGTGTGTGGGGTGAGTGAGTGGGGTGAGTGAGTGGGATGGGTGGGGTGAGTGTGTGGGGTGAGTGAGTGGGATGGGTGGGGTGGGTGGATTCCGAGACACAGGAAGCTAGCCAGAATCTCAAGGCGCCTTAAAGCCCATCCCATTGCCCTCCTCCCCCGAACCCCCCTCCCCCCTCCCGTCTCGCGCGTTTCCCCAACCCCCAGGTGGTGATGTTTCTCTCAAAGCTCCCTGAGGAGATGGTGCAGTACAGGAAGCTGGCCCAGCCGCCTGAGTACACTCATAACCTCGCCCTTCCCCCTCCCCTCCCCCTCTCCTTCTCTCCCCCCCTCCCCTCCCCCCTCCCCAGGTGGTGATGTTTCTCTCGAAGCTGCCAGAGGCGACGGTGCAGAAGAGGAAGCTAGGCTAAGCTAGCCAGATTTCGTAGGCGTGTGAAAACATCTCCTCCCTTCGCCCTCCCCCTCTCGCCCCCTCCCCCCCTTCCCTCCCCTCCCCCTCCACCCCCTCCACTCCCCCCCTCCCCCCGTCCGCCCCCACTCCCCAGGTGGTGATGTTTCTATCGAAGCTGCCAGAGGAGACGGTGGCCTAGGCGCCTGAATGCACTCATAACCTCGCACTTCCTCCTCCCCTCCGCCGCTCCTTCTCCCCTCCCCAGGTGGTGATGTTTCTGTCGAAGCTCCCAGAGGAGACGGTGCAGAACAGGAAGCTGGCCCGGGACCTCGTCGACATGTGGGTGCGTTGCTACAGGGAAATGGGGGGGGGAGGGGGGGGGGGGGGGGGGGGGCTGCGATGTTCACCCGTGATGGGGGGGGGGGCCTGCGATGTTCACCCGTGATGGGGGGGGGGGGCTCAATAGGAGACTCAAAAGTCACCGCGAGAAGGCGACTCAAAAGTCACGGCCAGAAGGTTACTCAAAAGGCACCTCGAGAGGAGGGGGTGAGATTGTAACGATTTTTTAGGCGCCTCAAAACTCGAGAGGAGGGGATGAGATTGTGGCGGGGTATCACCAGTTCTTACATCCTCAGAAGAGGACTTTCAGGTGTCCGCAGCTGTCTGTGTGTACTACGCGGTTCCACACTCCAGGTCACACTCCGTATCACATTTCAAATCTTCCCTTCCCTTCCCTTCCCTTCCCTTCCCTTCCCTTCCCTTCCCTTCCCTTCCCTTCCACCATCCCTTCTCCCCCTCCCCCCCTCCTTCCCCAGTCACGTCCCATATTTGAAAAGAGCTCGCACTACTGCAACTTGCGGGAGGACTATGATTTTGCTACTCATTTCACCATCCCTTCTCTCCTCCCTCCCCCCCCTCCTCCCTCAGTCGCGGCCCATATTTGAGAAGAGCACGCACTACCGCGACTTGCGGGACGACTATGACCGGCCCATGCGACCCCCACCCACACACAGGCAAGCTTTCTGGCAGTACGTTTCAAATGCACATGCTATTTTTGAGGCGCCTCAAAAGTGGCCACCACCATCACACTGGCGAGCAGCTGGTTGCATGCCTTACATGCACATGCACATGCTTACAGAATAGTATGTCCATAGATGCCCTCCAATATGAATAATGTTCACTGCTTTTTCGCTCGCGAAACTTGAGTGCACTCAGGAATATGACTCAATATGCGCATAGCTCGTCGTCAGATGCCCTCCAGTGTTTTTTCTCTCGGTCACAAATCTCTTTTTTACTCTCAAATTTCGTGCACAAGCCCCTCACCCTCTCTCTCCCTCTCTCTCCCTCTCACACACTCTTATCACTCTCACGCTCCCCCTCCCTTGCCCTCTCACTTCTCCTCTCGCTCTTCCTCCCCCATTGCAGAGAGGAGGCAGCACCACGTGTGTCCCACTCACGGCCCGACGACCTTGACCTCGACAATACCGGGTGAGACGATGGGTTGGGCCTGGAGCACGGCTGGTGAAGCAGGGGGGGGAAAGGGGGGGGAGGGAAAAGGAGACGGAGAGGGGGGGGAGATGGGGGATAGATGCCTTGGTTGGATGGTGGGCCAGACGTCTCAGCTCCTGTGTGGTGACGCAGGTGCCTTTCCTGCTCACTGATGATGCATACTATATGATGCATACCATATGATGCATATGATCCATATGATCCTCGACCTTGTATGGTGCGCCCTCTCTTTCTGCTCCTTCCCTGGTGGCCCTGGTTGTCACAGCGAGGCAAGGGGGGAGGCGGAGGAGGAGGGCAGCGGTGCCAAGCGTGTGATGACGCGCGTGCCGCAGCCCATGGCCATGGACTTCCGAGTGCGCCCCGAGAGCAAGGTCACCGAGGAGATGCTGGCCCGACGCGGCCACAAGGACGCCAGACACCAGAGCGTGAGTAAGGGTTGGGGGGGAGTGGAGGGAGACGTGTTCTGCTTGGGCGGGCTGGGGATTTGCAGAGCAAGACTGAGGTATGTGATATCTGCTCGATTGACTGTCAGAAAATGTCGCCCGTTTTATACCTTTTTGTACTGTCTCTGTGTCACAGGTGACAAAGAAGCTACAGAAGCTGAAGCAGAGCAAGAACAAGAACCTGCGAGCGGAAAAAGTGAGCGTGCAGGGTAGAGGCATGGTCAAATTTGTATGAGCACAGCTTGGCTAGTGAAACTTCCACATCATGTAACACAGTAAAGGCACCGCTTGGTTGGCGCACGTGGATAACGCAGTGAGCATAGAAGTTGAGGGGAGATTCAGACGAGTGGTGGGCGTTGAAGCAACTTGCTTGATGGTGAGATGGGATGTGAACTTTTGTTCATATGGTGCTTCATTTTCGTATGTGCACCGTATTTTTGCAAATACACCCAGTGCCTCTTGTTTCCATGTACCTTTTGTTCACATGGTACTTCATCTTAATAATGAGCAGCTTCGGTATTTATGAGTCAGCGGGGAAAGTCCAGCGGACATGGACCATAGGGAGGATGTACTGTCTGCGTGGGAGTACAGTACACTGCTGAGGGTAATTCTCTGCCCGAACCAATCACAAGAGAGGAACGACTCCATTGTCAGCACAGCAGCAGCACCCCATCAGCATTAAGAAAAAAATATTTCAAGTGGTGACCGTTTTGGCGCGGTTGGGCTCCGCGCATCGGGCTGTACTCTTGGACGGTTCGCACAACTTTCGAAATTCAAAATCTGGGGATGCCAGAATCCACATTCGGTTCCGTTTCGTTTCGTTTCCTCCCCCCCCCACCCCACCACCAGCACCAGCAAATCTCGACCAGGGCACACGCTAGAAGAATAATTACCCTGAGTTGACTGAAAATCCAAGATGTTTCAAAGGCCAATCCTGTGTTTTTCTGGGCTTTTTCCAAGCCAGCCCTGAGAGAATCAGGGGGATTTATCTACTGACCCGTAGGAGTCTGGGGCGGTTTTGAGGGGGCCCGGACATCTAGTTAGCCTCCAGGGGGTGTAGGAATCTGTCAAACTTCCCGTTCTTCCCTTTAAACCCCTATGCCCAAGTCTGCTCTTCCCATTTTCCCTTAGTTTAGTGGTTGGTTTTAAAATAAGCTGCCAGGAACAATTGTTCACGCCACTCTAACTCGCCCCATCCCTCCCACCAAACCCCCTTTCTTCCCAGCACCCTGGCCTAAATATAACACCTTCACGTGGGTGATTCATCTGCAGCATAGGTGCTGGTGCGGGTTTCCCACCCCGAAGTCGCCCACTGGCACCCTCACTATCATGTCCAGCAAAGACGGGCTAAAACCTAACAGGCCTATTTTTGCACGGACCCTGAATAATCAGGGCACATTGTTTACGAAGCCGGATTTTTCAAGGCGATTTTTCTAGGGGCCTGGATCGTCCGAGATGGCGAAAAAACTAGCGAGAGCCCTGATCTCGACTTGACTGCTCTGCACTGCAGTCTAGTGGGCCTCGTTCAGCGGCTCTGCTCTGCAGCTCGAAATTCTCAAAACCGAGCCGCCTCAACCGACAAATGCAAGCGTAACACATTCGGTTGGTTCCGAGCAGACCTGCCTCGAACAACCAGCACTCGCTCGAAAGCACACTTGCGCGGTTTCGCGACCGCCCATGCGCTGATTTGCTGATTCTTTACCGTCCATGCCCGCTCAATTCGTCTCACTGAAACGCGTCGAGCTATATCTACGAGCTATCGCATCGCAGAGTTAGATCGCATCGGTGAGAGGTTCATATTGTCCCTGACAAAGGGACGCACATTCGCCTGCGGGGAGCCGTCGACGATCGCGCTGCTCACTACTCGTTAGCTCGCGTAAAAATAGCCGAGCACAACCGTCCATAGTACGCCAGAGGTAACGATCACCCAGCGCGCGGCAGCCAGCAATTCGCTGCCACGACCGCAAGCATAATACCCATATTCCTGTCTACCATTTTTGAGGCGTCTAAAAAATAGTCTCTGCTAGCGAAATACCCGTATTCTATTCCAAGCATAGTGCACGTCCTCCGTACTCCTCCTGGCTGCGCAATCATGGGTGCCTTCTCGCTGCTCCGCTTGCTCTTGCTGCTCACAGCGGCCCTAGCGCTTCTATCCGGGGCACACCACCAAGCGCGCGCGCAAGAATCGGGCTTCGCCAGACTACAGGCCGCTAGTCGCGGCGATGGCCGCGACCCCAAAGGCGCAGACGACGGCGGCGGCGGAGGGGGAGGAGAAATAGCAAATGATAGCAGGAAAGGATCTGACATCGACGGAATTGTGTCGAGGATTCTATCGAGTGGTGATGACTCCGTGGATCAAGGCAAGAGCAAGGACGAGAGCAAGGGCAAGAGTGCGAAGGGTGGGAGGCGCAAGAGGCGTGGCAGTGGCAGGAAAGTTAGGGCGGGTAAGGGGACAAAGCGGGCGAGGTTGAGTGGCACGCTGAGTGATACGCTGAGTGTTTCTGACTTGGGCAATGCGGAGACAGTGGCTGAGGTGAAGGTAACAAGCAGCAGCAAATCGACAAGCAAGGCGAGCGATGCGAGCAGTAAGGCTGCTAGTAGCAGCAAGAACAGCAGCAAGAGCGGCAGCAGCAGCGGTAAGAGCAGCAAGACCAGCAGCGACTCGAAGCGCAAGGATAAGGCGGATACCAAGTCAACCAAGTCAACCAAGTCAACAAAGTCAACGAAGGCGAATGACAGCAAGACGGGGACGAAAAAGAGTAGCGGCAGCAGCAGCATCAGCAGCAGCGGCAGCAGCAGCAGCAGCGGCAGCGGCGGCGGGAAGATCAGCAAGGCCAAGGGGAAAACCGGCACGCAGAGCGTGAACGACGGCGGGAGCACCTGCGACTTCGGGGAAGGCAGGTGCGTGCTGCTCCGTGCGTAGAAACACAGCTGCAAGACCCTCGCCACCCGCCACAGCAGCCAGGGCTATTACTAGGAGTATAGGGAGAGTGTCGAGAGACTTTTCAGCAGGTTGCAGAATGCTCGACTGCGGAAGATGTTATCTTTCGGCGATATGTAATTTGAGTCGACTCAAATGACTGCTGAAGATGGTGACTTTCGGCAATCTGTTGAAGATGGTGACTTTCGGTAACCTTCTGTTGACACAAGCCTTTCTGACCCACGTGCTCCCACGTGCCCCCCCCATTCCCCTCCCCCCCCCTACATTCTCTACCCTTTTAGGTGGGTGACATCGCCCAGTAAGGCCCTGTACTCCGGTAAGAGCTGCCCAGAATGCTAGACTCCTGTACCCCTTCCCCCCTCTCCCCCGTCCCGCCCCCCCCCCCCCACTCTATTCCCCTTCCAGGTGGGTGATATCGCCCAGTAAGGCCCTGTACTCCGGTAAGAGCTGCCCCTTTATTCGGTCCAAGGAGAACTGCCAGGCGAACGGGCGCAGGGACACGGGGTACCTCAACTGGCGCTGGCAGCCCCGCGGGTGTGACGTTGACCGGTGAGTGGGACTGTAACGGGTGCGGGGCAGTAACGAATGCGGGGCAGTAACGAATGCGGGGCAGAAACGATTTTGTGAGGGACGCAGCTGATGATTCAAGCAGCCGGTTACCAACCAGTTACACTACTTATTCTCGTATCAGTCGCTCCTTGCGCCCTGTGGGGTCCCACCTTCTCTCCTCCTTCACACGCGTTATGCTCGCCCCTTCTTCCTCCCCCCAACCCCCTCTTCGCCCCCTTCCCCCCCGGCAGCCTAGACCCCGCAACCCTTCTCAACCGGTACCGCAACAAGGTGTTCGCGATCGCGGGCGACTCCTTCTCGTCCAACTTCGGTAACGCAATTCGCTGCTCGCTGCACTCGTTTTCGCCGACGGTGGACTTCAGCGGCGACTTCGGCGGCACGGACGTGAGCGGGTACCGCGTGCCCAAGTACAACTTCACGTTTCTGCACGTGTCGTCCGTCTTCCTCGTCGACGCGCAGGCCATTGTAAGTGAGGGGTGGAAAGGTGAAAGGGGTAGGAGGTGACAGGTGCAGGGACACGCGAGGTGCGAAGTGCAGGGACACGCGAGGTGCGAAGTGCAGGGACACGCGAGGTGCGAAGTGCAGGGACACGCGAGGTGCGAAGTGCAGGGACACGCGAGGTGCGAAGTGCAGGGACACGCGAGGTGCGAAGTGCAGGGACACGCGAGGTGCGAAGTGCAGGGACACGCGAGGTGCGAAGTGCAGGGACACGCGAGGTGCGAAGTGCAGGGACACGCGAGGTGCGAAGTGCAGGGACACGCGAGGTGCGAAGTGCAGGGACACGCGAGGTGCGAAGTGCAGGGACACGCGAGGTGCGAAGTGCAGGGACACGCGAGGTGCGAAGTGCAGGGACACGCGAGGTGCGAAGTGCAGGGACACGCGAGGTGCGAAGTGCAGGGACACGCGAGGTGCGAAGTGCAGGGACACGCGAGGTGCGAAGTGCAGGGACACGCGAGGTGCGAAGTGCAGGGACACGCGAGGTGCGAAGTGCAGGGACACGCGAGGTGCGAAGTGCAGGGACACGCGAGGTGCGAAGTGCAGGGACACGCGAGGTGCGAAGTGCGGGGTGCGAGGCAATTGCAGGGACGTGAGCGGGTACCGCGTGCCAAAGTACAACTACACGTTTCTGCACGTGTCTTCCTCGTCGACGCGCAGGCCATCGTGAGTAAGAGGGGGGTCACACAGGTGCAGGGACACGCGAGGTGCGAGGTGCGAGGTAACAGCAGGGACGTGGAGGGGTACCGCGTGCCGCAGGTCAGCTTCACGTTCCTCCACGTGTCGTCCGAATTCCTCATCGATGGGCGGGCCATCGTACGTGCAGCGGTGATAGTGGGTAGGGCGTGTGCCTGGGTACCCTCTCTCGCTTTTCGTCCCATCCCATCCCATTCCTCGCTTTCCTACCCATCCCTCAACCCCTAAGTCAATTCCTAAGGCGCCTCAATGCGAAATTCTTCCTCTCCCTCTCGCTCGCTCCCCGTCCCTCAGGGCGAAGCCAAGAGCTCCGGCGCCTGGAAGGTATTCCTGGATAAACCCCGGGATAAATGGGGCGACATCATAAACTACCTAGACGTGTTCATCTTCAGTGCCGGCCACTGGTTCGTTAACGTGAGTAGTAGCTCTCTCCCCCTCTCACTCTCCCCCTCTCACTCTCCCTCTCTCAACCCCTCCCTCACTCTCCCGCTCACTCTTCCGCTCACTCCCCCTCTCACTCCCTCTCACTCCCCCTCACTCCCTCTCTCACTTCCCCTCTCCTCTCCCTCTCTGTCTGTCCTCTTACCTGTTTCTTTTTTTTTTTATCCCTTTGTCAATCCTCGTCGCTACAAACGCGTTTCTCCTTTTTCTCCCACTCACTCCCTCCCTTTGTCACTCCCTCCCTCCCTCGTCCCCCGTCAACTCCCCTTTCCAGGCGCCCTCGAGTCTCCGCAAGTACTACCTCAAGGGCGTGGAGCAGCCGGGCATAAGCGGCATGAGAGCCATGGAGATCGCGCACGCCACGGTGCGGGACCACATCGTCCGCTCCAACTACCGGGGCATTCCCGTTATGCTCTCCTTCTCGCCCTTCCATAACGAGGAGGCTTATGGCGGGGCGGACTCGGGCCGCAACTGCAAGGGCGCGCGCCTGCCGTTCACTTCTGCGGAACTGGCTAATGCGGAGAAGTATAGTGACGCTATAGAGGCGGTTGACGTGCAGATGAAGGTGTTTAAAGACGTCTTGTGGGGTTCTGGGGCCGGTGGTAGCAGCAGCAGCAGCAGCACAATGAGTACAGAGATGCTTGGGAAGGCGAAGGACGGCGGAGGGGCCAAGGTGGGGACGACTAAGAGCACTCAGGTTGACGGTGGGTGGATCGAGGTCCAGGGCAAAGGCCGGAGCTTGCTCTCTGGTAACTCGAGCAGTGGTGGCAGCAGCCACAGTGGCAGCAGCAGCAGCAGCAGCAGCAGTGGCGGTAGCGGCGGCAGTAGCAGTGGCAAGAGCGAGAGTGACAGCAGCAAGAGCAGCGGCAGCAATAGCAGCAGCACAATCACCAGCACCAGTGGCACCAGCAGCAAGAGCACGGGTTCCTCTAGCAAAATCACCTCTAGCAAAATCTCCTCAAGCAAAAGCTCCTCAAGCAAAAGCTCCTCTAGCAAAAGCTCCTCTAGCAAAAGCTCCTCTAACAAGGGTTCCTATAGCAAGGGCTCTTCTAACAAGGGTTCTTCTAGCAAAGGATCCTCTAAAACCTCTTCAAGCAAGGGTTCGTCCAGCAAGGGGTCCTCTAAAAGCACTTCCAGCAAGAAGGGCTCCACTGCCAAAGCGCAGGAGGCAAGTGACAGCGACAACAACGCACAACCCCCATCATCACCACCCAACAGCAGCAGCGGTGGCGGCAGCAATGGCAGCGGTGGAGTGCGGTTCCGTGTGCTGGACATCACGCACCTGTCGCTGATGCGGCCGGACGGCCACCTGCAGAACTACACGGGCGGCCCCAGCACTGACTGCTCACACTGGTGCAACCCGGGCGTGCCGGACACCTGGGCCGACATCCTCTACTCCATGCTCCTGGGGGGATGAGGCGTGCGGGGGACGGCATGGGTGTTGGGGTTAGACCACCAGAGGAGAGTGTGCTGAGGGGATACTGGCATGCTGGCAGGACGACGTGGCCTGCCCGACACCTGGGCCGACATCCTCTACTCCATGCTCCTGGGGGGGTGAGATATGGCGTGGCATGGCGTGGCATGGCATGGGCCCTTACGACACAAGCACCGGCATATCAGCACATCGGCTTACCCCCATGCTGGCATATACTGGGTGCAACCAGGTGTTGCTGGCCAGAGGGGGGGGAGGAAACAGTATACTGAGGGAGCAGAAAGGCTTCAAACCAGCCAGTGCCCTCCTCCACACTTGGCTTGATTCGGCTCTTAGAAGAAACCCAGAGCCTTCATCAGGGCCGAAATAGGGAGCCCACACTGCAGGGGACCCAGAGTATAAGGAGCCCTAGCGCAGTGTAGTGTACAAGTCTTACGGTAGTATTAGCACTATAATAGTGCTGCCACTAGTGAAGGTAGATAGTGAAGAAGTCTCACTGGCCTCTGATGGTGCGCATGCACTGGCACAGTATTTGCATGCAGACTCTTGAGTTGAGAGCTTGGGTTGGTTCCATGACACGACCGGTGGTGATATATTTGGTATACTGCCGTAATGAGATTTGAATTTCATGGCAGAGCTGCGTGACAACCCCGTTATAGCAGTGTATGCCTTACTGGCTAAAACCCGTTATAAGGAAATACCATTTCCTTACACTCTCCCCCCTCCAACATATGGTCTTAGTTAAGACCGCCGACGTCGCGCACGTTGGGTTGGGTGACCAGAGGTAGCCCCGAAACCAGGCCCCTATATTGGTTCAGGCATGCTGATCGCTCAGAATCCCACGAGTTTTTCCCTGATTTTTCAGGGTTGGCCCAAAGAAAGATTCTCATGAATCAGGCCCCGTCGCGCCCCTAGCAGGCCCCGTCGCGCCCCTACGGCCCCGTTGCGCCCCTAGCAGGCCCTGTCGCGCCCCTAGCAGGCCCCGTCGCGCCCCTACGGCCCCTCACGCTCCTAGCCGGCCCCGTCGCGCCCCTAGCTAGCCCCGTCGCGCCCCTACGGCCCCGTCGCGCCCCTACGGCCCTGTCGCGCCCCTAGCCGGCCCCGTCGCGCCCCTACTGGCCCCGTCGCGCTCCTACGGACCTGTCGCGCCCCTAGCCGTCGCCTCGCGCCCCTACGGCCCCTCGTGCTCCTACCAGCTCCCCCGCGTCCCTAGCCGGTCCCATGCGCCCTTGTCGGCCCCGCTCACCCTAGCCGGCCCCTTGTGCCCTAGCCGGCCCCGTGCGCCCTAGCCAGCCTCGTCGCTCGTGTCCCCGAGCCGCCGACCACCCGCGCCGCCAAGCCGGCGAGCCGCCGTGCCGCCGAGCCGCCATGCCGCCCAAGTGCAGGGTCTGAAGGGGTGCAGTGGCAGGGCCAAGTGAGGAGGAGTGAGGAGCTTGGCGCAGCCGGCCCTTGACGCAGGGCGTGCACGGCGGCGCAGGCGAGGGAGGGAGAGCAGGGAGCGGCGTAGGTAGGCCGAGGACTAGACCGTGCTGAGACATGTGACGCAGGCAGGGGAGCGCGGGGTGACCTAGGTGGTGGTGCCACAACAGTGATGGGTGAGTGAGCGACCAACACGAGCAGGCTGCAGCTACCTGGGTGGACGCAGAACCGGAGGAGGACTCGCCCGCCGGGGGGGGGGAGCAGTGTCCAGCATAAACAGGCCAGACACAGGGTCCCGGGGGAACGTCGCAAGGGGGGCACCTAAGGTGGCCTCGGAACAGACCGTGTACCGCTCGTGACCAGGGAACGTAGTGGTGACGCCGAGGTCTTGAAGACAGCCGACACCAACTAAGTTCCTAGAGAACGAAGGGATGTGCAGGCCTGTAAGGGAACCCGAGGGAACCGCTGGACAGGGAAGGGTAGTGTAGCTGCGAGCAACTACAGGACAAGAGGAGGTATCAGCAAGGGCGACAGCGGCAGGCGCAGCAAGCGGCGTGAGGGCGGCGTGGTCGCGGAAGAAACAGGTTGACGCACCGGAGTCTAGAGTGAAGGACAGCGACGCCGTAGTTGCCGACGACGGAGGAGCAAGGGTAGAGCCTAGGCTAGACAAAGCAAGTTGTCCTACGCCTGACGCAGCAGGGGAGTCTGGACTACACACAGGTGCCACACCTAAGCTAGAGAACACAGAGTAATACGGTCAGGAAAAACACTCGAAGCATCAGCATACAGAGAATGCAAGGTAGAACTAATCTGATCCATGTCTAAGTCAAACACAAGCACACCGTGGCGCAATAGGCTGGCCAGTCAGGGAGGTCCAGGGCGGGACCAAAGCGGCGATGGAAGAGGTCCAGGGTCGTCGACGCGACGGAAGCAGCGAGCGGTGGGGTGTGAGCGGCGGCACACCGTGCCACGCAGGGGCCCGGTCTAAAGCTGGTACTGGCAGCTCATAGCACCGAAGGTGCTGGTGGACGCCGAGCTGCGAGGGCCACCACCACGACCACCACCGAGGCTCCTGGCCACCCGGACGGGAGACGAGCCCACGGCGGCTGCTGCTGCTGCTGTGACGGCTGCTGCTGCTGCGGCGGCTGCCACTGCGGTGACTGCTGCTGCTCCTGGGCACTAGCACCAACCCCCTCGTCAGAACCACAATCCCCGCCACCACCACCACTAGCGCCACCTCCACGTCCTCCCTTGGGGCCACGGCGGCCCCGGCGCTGGCGCTGCTGCGGGGTAGCCGCAGATGCTGTCTCAGGTGCAGGCGCAGTCGTGACAACTGCGGCGGAGACGTCAGCGTACGTGCATTGGGAGGGAGCACAGCCCTGAAAGATAGGGACTGCCGCAACACCGCTCGACTGAGCGATAGTGCGCTGGCGAGTCTCTAGCTCAGACAGCTTAGTGACAAAGGCGGTCAGGGTGAGGTCGGCAAGGTGCTGACTAAGAAGGTGGTCGCGGGCAGTGGCTAAGCGGCCAGGCAGGCGCATGGCGATGAGGTACAGGGTAGCGCAAAAAGGTGGGGGGAAGGCAGTAAGCTGGGCGGCAGAGCTAGTAGCGTGGTAGCTGGTCTCTAGTGCACGGAGGTGAGTAGCGAGGTCAGCTACCGTGGGGAAAACAGAAAGATCAGTGAAGAGCATGGGTAGGATCAAGTGGCCAGCAGAGGCGGAGGCAGGTGTGGAGTAACGCTCAACTACTGCAGAGAGAAAGTCCTTGGCGTTCGCGACAGCGGTAAAGCGCGGACGCTCAGATAGGGGGAGGGCATGGCTAATGGCAAGTTGGGCTACTGCGTCACGAGAATCCCAGACAACTCGAGTAAGCGCAGCAGCAGCAAAAGCCTCGCTCTCAGCAATGGTAGGGTCAGCAGGGAGGGGATCAGGCGCAGGGGGGCGGGGAAGCAAACCATCAACATGCATAGCCAGGGAGTGCCCATCCTAGCGCTGACCTGTCAGGTGCCGGCGGAGGTCGACGAGCCAGGCGGCGAAGTTGATCGCGTGCCCCACAGCGTCTGGGCGAAGAACGACGTCCGCCATCGCACAGTGTGCCAGCAGCACAGCGGCGCAGCGACTTGGCGGCTCGGCGGCTCGGTGGCACGGCGGCTCGGCGGCACGGCGGCTCGGCGGCACTGCTGCTCGGCGGCACGGCGGCTCGGTGGCACGGCGGCTCGGCAGCACGGCGGCTCGCCGGCTTGACGGCGCGGGTGGTCGGCGGCTCGGGGACACGAGCGACGAGGTCGGCTAAGGCGCACGGGGCTGGCTAGGGCACAAGGGGCCGGCTAGGGCGAGCGGGGCCGACAAGGGCGCGTGGGACCGGCTAGGGACGCGGGGGAGCCGGTAGGAGCACGAGGGGTCGTAGGGGCGCGAGGGGCCGGCTAGGGGCGCGGCAGGACCGTAGGAGCGCGACAGGGCCGGCTAGGGTCGCGACGGGGCCGTACATGCGTGACGGGGCTAGCTAGGGGTGCGACGGGGCCGGCTAGGAGCGTGAGGGGCCGTAGGGGCGCGACAGGGCCGTAGGGGTGCGACGGGGCCTGCTAGGGGCGCGACGGGGCCGTAGGGGCGCAACGGGGCCGGAGGGGCATGACAGGGCCTGCTAGGGGCGCGACGGGGCTGTAGGGGCGCGACAGGGCCTACTAGGGGCGCGACGGGGCCGTAGGGGTGCGACGGGATCGTAAGGGCGCGACGGGGCTGTTGGTTCACCGAAATCTCCGTCTCCGTCAATTCCCAAGGGAAATCTGCAGCGTGCAAGCATCAGTAGCAACAAGGGATAAGGATGAAGGATGCGGCCAGTGGCGTTCATGCAGCTTATCCACGAGTTGTCAATGGAAGTTCAAGAAACACAATCTATTTAACGATTGTAATGTGCTCAAATTTCCCAGCCTGTCTGCCAGTTTCGGCAGTTCGTTGGGAGTTCATCATTGCACAATGGCGAAGCCCTCTTTTGTTGCTATCCACCATCTTGACTACGGTGCTGCTCTAGTCTCTGGTACTGCCCGTCCTCCGTCCGTCGGGGGTGCACGTGCCCTCGGCAGTGACGTGCTATAGGACAGGCAATACGAGTTGGCATACTTTGCTTCCATTGTTCCCCATCTCTGCTCCATGCTTGTATCCCAAGAGGGCGACCCAGACGCCCTCGACATCCCTTTGCCGCGCTCTTACGCTGACGCGGTGACGGGGCCCTGGGCAGCCTAGTGGATACAGGCCATGGAGGCCGAGATGGCATCCTACAGATCCACAAGCACTTACGTCAACGCAGTTCTCCTACCTGGGGCGAACGTAGTCGATGGCATGTGGATCTATAAGGTGAAGCGCACATCTAGAGAGAGCTGTCGAAGTTCAAGGTGCCTTAGGTGGCTAGGTGCTTCAGTCAGCGTGAAGGTGTGGACTTCTTTCAGACCTTCTCTCCGACCCCGAAGATGACTACTCTTCGAGTCCTTCCCCACATAGCTGCGCAGCGTGACTACGAGCTTCACTCACTCTACTTCTCCACAGCGTTCCCGCAGGGTAGTCGGCACAAGCAGATCTACCTCCGGTGCCCTCTAGGCAACTCTGGGCTTTTCCCATCTGAGACCTAGTGGATCCTGCGCCGTCCTATCTACGGACTTCGTCAAGCACCCCGTGAGTGGCACGACACACTTCGCACCACTCTTGCTGTGCTGCAGTTCTTTCCGTCCTCTGCTGACCTCTCTCTCTTTGTTCGCATGGGTTAGACACCGTTCTACATCTTAGTGTATGTAGACGATCTTATCTTTGCTACTCCTGACAAAGTCGCACTGGCCTCAGTGAAGGCCGAGTTACTTAGGAGACACACCTGTACAGACTTGGGGGAGCTGAGGCGCTGTCTGGGCTTGGAGATCTCTTGTGACCATGCTGCTCGCACGATCACACTCTCCCAGTCCCATATGGCGCAGCAGATCCATCAGAGGTTCAATCTCTTGTTCTCCTCAGCAAAGCCCACCCCTCTGCCTGTGGATCACAAGCTCTCTGCTAATGTTCCGGCTGAGCCGGTCGAGGCTAGTGGTCCATACGCAGAGCTGGTGGGGTGCCTCATGTACCTGATGATCTGGCGAGTACATCAGGCCTGGGGCTTGTGCTAGGAGGACGGGAGCCAGTGATGCTCACTGGACACACAGACGCGTCGTGGGCTGACGACGTGGAGA